GCTGGGGTGGGGGGGAAGGAAGCGGAGTGGGGGTGGGCTTTGGGGTAGGATCACGGCCTGGGCATGCGCAGCCTCCCCCCACTGGGGACGTGGCCCTGCCCACACCGCGCTGACGGTACGATGCCTCCGCCCTTGGCCCTCACCAGGAGTGCACTGGAAGCCGTCCCCTTGGTAGCCTGGCTGGCAGCGGCAGGAGAAGGAGCCGGGCGTGTTGGAGCAGGCGGCGGCCGGGTGACACCTGCCTTCGGCGCATTCATCCACGTCTGCCGGGAGAGGAACAGGGGCTTTACCCCGGCGCAGCTGCCTGCGAGCTCGCCGGCCCGGGCGGGCGGAGAAACCACCAGGCCAGGGGGCCTGCCCGGAGCTGAGCCACCGCAGCACCAGCAAAGCCGAGACCAGGGCAGGGGGACTGCAGGCGAAGGATCTCCCCATTTGCCTTGGCCCAGGACCCCACAGAACCATCCTCTGCCTCTGCCCCTAGGTGCGTTCACAATCCAAACCCAGCGAGGTGGCTGAATTTTAGGGTTGCCAGATGGTTTAACCAAAAATACCGGACACCCCCTCCCTCCCCGCCAAAAAAAACACCGGGGAAAAAATTCCATTGAAGAAAAAAAAGGGGAGACCAAAGTTGTTGAACAGTTTAAAAAAAAAAAAAAGGACCCCAAGAATTGTTAAGCAAAAAAAAATAATAATAATTAAACAGCGTGGCCCCTTTAAGAAATGCTTTTGAGGCTTTTTGGCCCTAAAAGACCATCCTGTCTCCCTGCTGCGGACCAGACAGCTCCCCTGCGGAACCTGGTAAGCACCTGGGATTTTCACCTCTTGGCCAGGAAAAAAATAAAAAAATACTGGACATTTTAGGTGTTCGGTATTTTCTACATTTTTTTTTTTAACCAGACAGGAGGTGAAAATACCGTTCTGTCCGGGTCAATACCGGACACCTGGCAACCCTAGTTTGGCCTCTCTCTTTGGAACAGGCTGGGCCAAAGCCCCCTGAACTTTGTGTCCTGCTCTGGAGTTTGCAGCCTGGGCCCGTCTCCGCTTCGCTGAGTCGTCATCGGCCCACAACGGCCAGCCAGGCGAGAACGGGGGAAGCCCTCCCGCAGACGAGAGGTGGGGGGGAACCCGCCCTTCTGCCAGGCGATACGTACCGGCGCAGTCGTGCCCGTTGCCCGTATAGCCGGAGAGGCACACGCAGCTGCAGCAGCAGCCGACGTGGGGGAGGCCGGGGGGGCGGCCACCCGGGGGAGC